TTAGCTGGTTCAAATCTGCACAATAGTCGGGCTACACGCATATACATGTTGGTCAGAGTAAAATGGATCAGCATGTGGAATTGGAGCTTCCTATCGTTGTTGTTGGATGACCTGCAGTAGTTTCTGAGACACATTCAGGGTCAGATTTGCTTTGCTATGGAAATACTTATTATTGATTTGTTTAATCAGAGTTTTAACAGAACAGTAATTAAGTATATTACTTTTCATGTGGTTCCTTGCTCAAAACTGAAGTGTGCCACAAACCAAATATGAGCCTACATATTTTTAGTGTAAAATCACACCCCTAATGGTTAACACTTGATTAAAGACGCACTCCAGCCAAAATTCAATTTACCATTACTACATCTGTGGTAAACATGCCGGCTTGTGTCCTGCAGACGCTGAATTAGTCTCTAGTGTGAGATTTTCTTATTGAAAGACTAAGAAATCCTGTTTCTAATGATGTATCTTGAAGTTGGGAGGAACTTTTGAAAAATTACAAGGGCTTCAGGAGGCCTGTTTAAAGGGGTTTCTTACCAAATAATGCACAACTGGATAATCTGTGTTAGCCTCTATATCAGTGACTACGTTAGCAGAGAGGGTTTCTTTTTCGCCATTTTGTGATTCTCAGTGGCTGTATTTGCATAATGCATGCTGGGTATTGTAGTGAGAGTAACAATGATGGATGAAAACACATAAATGATATAAAATCATGGATTGAGGGATGAGGTTGAGCGATAATGCTGCTCTATGGATGGTGTGGTTGGTATAGTGTAGTGGGTAACACCTCTGCCTTCTGTGCTGTAGACTGAGGTTCAGTGCCCCGCCTGGGTAAGCACCCTACACTATACCAATTAGAGTCCTTGGGCTAGACTCCTAACATTGTCTTCGCCTACCTGTATCAAATGATCGAATCGTAAGTTGCTCTGGATGAGAGTGTCTGCCAAATGCTGTAAAAAAGTGCTAGTTTTAAACTGGAGTGCCATTTATAAAGGTAAAAATAACTTTTTAAAAAACTGGTTAAAGGTAAAACTTCGTACAGTTCACTGGAAGTATTTCAAACCGCAAGACTGATGTAGTGACGCTTGCATAATAGTAAGTTGTTTTGGCTCTCGTGGGATGAGGTGCGCACTCTTGCTTCTACATGCTTATGGTAGATGAAAACATGCAGACTGAGAAAACTGGGTTTAATGTGGCTGAGTGAAAAACAAACTGTCTCCATTGGGGGGGTGCTCTTCAGTCTTGGAGGGCTACAACACTGCACAAATGAAGGTTTTCTGTGTTCTAAAATGGCCAATTCAGAAGGGATTGAATGATTAGCTGCTCAGTCAGATCAAGTGTGGTACAGGTGGGAGAACATGGTACTCTACTGTGTACTGTGTGGGTATTTTTCCGAATAGCTGGGGAATCCTTCAGGATTCCCTAAAGGTGCCCTCGTTGGTGCTTATTCTTATCGTTTTCTCAAGGCAAGTGCTTTGGCCAACATTTGGAGATTTGCTCTTACAAGATGATAAAACATTCAGCCGCCTTCCTTGTACTGCTTTGGGTCTTGGAGTCCAACTTGGCTGTAACAAGCAAACATACATTTGGTAAGCTGCGTACTTGTTTACATCCATGACATGTCTTGCATTTTTTGCTATTTGCAAGCAACATTTAATCCGTCCGCGGCTTTAAGACGCATTTAATCTGTATCTAGGAAAGGATGGGAAGGTTTCTCCCGGCAGCGCAGGCGGACGGGCGCGGGGCGTCCGGGGAGCATGTCAGATTAGTAGTGCCTCGTCTGAAGCTGCCCGAGTCAGGGGTGATAAAGGAGACTAGATTGGTGTTTTGTTATTGCCTTCAGCGCAGCACATTTCCCTTTAATCCACTGTTTGTGAGGCTGGCGGGCTGGAGAAGCTCAGAGAAACTGGAGGGAAGAAAAAAGAAAAAGCATACAGATGAAAGACCCCTAAGCCCCTGAGTCAGATTAAAAATGGAAGGCGTTGCCGACGCAGAATCGTGTCACAAATCCGAATATATATCTATTATATACATACTTCTTTCTACTGGAAGTAAAAAAGGTTCAGAAAGTAGATAAGTACTGAAATGTGTTTTAAATAGCCTTTATTTCCAGAAATAAACCAGCTCAGGACCATGTGCATACCCACGTTCCCTTGCAGGTGTTACCATAACGGAAGTCTCCGGTGCATCGCAGGCACCCATGCTATTAGGCTAATGCAGCTGCAGCAAGCTATTTTCATCTTGTTAGCGATCTGTGGCCCAGACAACGCGGCGGAATCTCCCGGGAGAGCGAGCGTGTTTTATCTGTAATGCACTCAGAAAGTCGGAGCAGGGGGAAGATGAAACTGGATTTATGTAGGGCAGTGAGTGAAGAGGAAAAAGATGGGGGAAAACCCGCCCCGACCCAGGGCCATTAAATTTTTTACCAGTTGTAGAGATGGAGAGGCTTTCTTTTCGAATGTTGATCAGATGTTCTGATTTTTTTCCCCATCGTTCAAGCGCTGAAGTGACTTGAGTTCATTTTGATGCGCCTCTCTCCTTCTCCCGCTTTTGTTCGGCTGAAAGTGGCTGCCGGCGTCATCTGACCATTCACTGAAGTTCAAAGTGAGTGGCTCAAAAATTGCCCTCAGACATGAAGCGGATACAAAAGAGAAATTGCAGATTGCAAAGATCAAATTCAGTCCAGTTTCCCTCTTCCTCCAAATGTAGTCCACTGACAAAGACATGGCGTCTGAAGTTATTTTTACACTGGATCTACAAGGCTAACGTAGCTAACAAGTTAATGGAAGAAGTAAAGTGCTAAATTCCAAAATGTGGAACCTGAAAATCTATATTACAAGAAAGCTTCTTAGTGCTCCTTGTTCAGGACACGTGGCAGTTTTCTGGTTCGGCCAAAATCAGATTTACAGTTTTTCCCTTCACCCAAATGTTGTTGATCAGCCAAGACACGTTTGGTGTCTGAAATTTTTCTTCTTCAGGTCTTGCTTGGCTCTTGTGGGTGTGTTTGAGGCTGCTCTTGTTGTCACATGTGGGCGTTTAGACTGTCCAGCTTCTGACAAGAAAATGTCGAAATGTCTACAATGTATGTGTTTCCATTTGGTTTAAAAGATAAACCACACGTATACAGTCATCTGCAAAGGTTTGAACAAACCCAGTTAAATGACATGTTTTGTTGAATAAAAGTCAACAGATCATCAACAGAGAACAAGCTTTATGTTGTATTTCGTATTGTGATGGAGGGGGCTCTCAGAACAAACTCAGATAACTCGCTATAAAGCAGCCAACAGTGGCTGTACTTTGCCCTGCCCTTCACAATAAGAGTTCCTGCAAAAAGAAGTGTAGCACTTCCTAAATAACTTTTGCGAATGCAAACCACACTTTGATAAATGAGATAATGAGAGGAGGGGAACTCTGAGGAATTTTGGGCTGGAGTTCGGTACGGCTTCTGTGGGTCACGAGAAGGCCGACCCCCCTGTATAATAAAGATCATGTGCAGGCGTGGACAAGGTGGAGGAGAAGGGCGAGGAGGTGGGGTGGGAAATTTTGTCACTAGAAAGAGGAGTGAAGGACTGGTATTTATAGGAAGCTGGAATTGAGAAGGAGGAGTTTTAGGCTTGGTCTTTCCTCAAACTTCAGTTATGTCCTAACTCCATAAACAGCCTAAGCTTAGCATGAACAAGCATTTTAATAACAGCCTTCTCATTTATTTGTCACTGAACAGAGCACAGGCGTGCTGTGGTGCCACCATATATTGAAAAGAATAAAATGTAAAGTACAAACCTGGTTCCAAAAAAGTTTGGACAGTAGGAAAAATGTAAATAAAACCAGACAGCGATGATTTTTGACTGAAAACAGTACAGTATTCAGTTCAAAACAGTATAAACACTTAAGTAACTAGATATTTAATGTTTGAACTAATTCACTTTATTGTTTTTTTTTATATATACATACATGCTTATTCTAAATTTCATGCCTGCAACATGTTCCAAAAAAGTTGGGCCATGTTTACCAGTGTGTTACATCATTTTTCCTTTTAACAGCACATTGTTTGGGAATCATGAGCACCAGGTGTTGTAGTTGTGAAACTGTAATTTTTTTTCCATTCTTGCTTGATACAACACTATAACACTTAATGTGGGGTCTCTGAAGAAGATTTTGTACTCATTTGCCTTTTGACCTAAAGTAAGCAACAAATTCTTTAACAAAAAAATCAAAATGTGATGTGATTAGCCTTGTATTTTCATGTTAAAATCACTACAATGTTCTCCAAAAATCTTGACTGCTAATGCAGTGTCTTTTATTAAAAAAATAAATAAATAAAAAATTAAAAAGAATGCTACAAACGTTCAGCGTCCAAACGATTCGAAAAACTTGCAGTAAATTTTTACTGAATAATATCACTAGGATTAGAGATATTAGTTTATAATTGACCTTATTAGGCTCTCCTTTCCATCCTGCCTCCATTTGTGACAGAGAGCCAAACTGCTGTTGAGGGTGTAGACGCGATTTGATTAGTTCATTAAACCTGAGGAAAAAACGAACCGTGCGAACAATGCAGGAAATGCAAGAAATATTAGAGCTATTTATGCCGAAGACGAGAATAGAAACCACCTGGGAAAGTAGGAGTAACAATCTACACATTGGTGGAAACACTAATGATAAGGCGGAGCTACATGGGAGGAGCCGGGACACTGTGACATCACTCTAGATTAGGTGGCGGTCATTTGTAAACCACAGTCAAAGTAACGGTTTACATGCGTCTTACAAAGTACTGTTAGTATATTAATTAATAATGAATAACTTCATTAGGGCATGATTAGCCAAGTATGAAGTAAGAGCTAATAGACGTCTTATAGCCTGCTGTTATTATGAAGTGTTACCGATGTCTGATTGTCATTGCCTGCTACTGTGAATGCAGGGTGAGTCTTCTACAAAATGTTTTTATGAGTGCCTCATGTCTCTCTCTCTCTCTCTCTCTCTCTCTCTCTCTCTCTCTACAGGCCTGAAGGTGCGGGAGGTGATGATAAACGTATCTCGGCAGCAGGTGGAGGACTTCCACGGTCCCGAGGATTACTGGTGCCTGTGCGTGGCCTGGAGTCACCTGGGCACCTCCAAGAGTCGCAAAGCCACAGTGCGCATTGCCTGTGAGTCCCCCCACCCCCACGCCCCCCTCGAATAGACTGGCACTTCTACATCACCCACCAACACATTTACAACGTGAAAAATACGTTTTTGCTGCTGCGAAATGAAAAACGCTGGCCTGAGGCAAAATTCCAGTCTCCAGTCTTAGACAGCGGCTCTGAGGTAGCATTTGCAAACACATAGCATGTGAATAAGTGTGACCCAAAAAGAGGCGCTGGAGCCACAGATTGGGTTCAGAATTAAGCCGTAAGTAGGAGTTTCATTTCCTGCACTCGTGTCAGCTTTGTACTCTGCTCCACTGACAGTTATGATTCTGTATTGAAAAAAGCTTCTTAGGTCCTCTCTTGTTCAGGAAATAAGCTACGGGGGGGGCCAGTTTTCTGGCACATATTAAGCCTCGTCTTTCATTAAATTACACTGCCGGCGTGGCGCTACATTTCATGTTTCCCTGTGTATTAATTCCGTCCCCTGTCCTTCATTTGATGGTCTTCCCATTAAGAGGTGTCCCAGTCAATTTATTCACCCCAATCCCAATCAGACTCTTGTAAAACTGATCTGATATTTGTAATTCTGTAGATAATATAGCCACACAGTGCTCTTCAAGAGCATTAGTGTTAGAAGCAATTTAGAGAAGCTGCTATGCTGTAAGTCACTTTAAAACACTGCAGAAAAACAGCAGATCCTTAACACGTCTTTCGAAGGTCTTAGAACAGATGTTGAAAATATAAGTATTGAAAATGTCTGAAAAAGTCTTATTTTTACAGTAGAGGTATTAAATTTAGGGATGTCCGACCCCGGCATACTTTAATCAGGTTTCAGCTAAAGTCCAGTTTCGTTTTTGCTCTCTGTTTGCTCCGCAGTCGCGGAGGAGCCATTTCATTGTGTCCATTAAAGCTGCTTTTCCACTGCATTGTACTGGCTCAACTCAACTCCACTTGCCTCGACTCCACTTGCCTCGACTCACTTTTGGTACCAGCTGCTTCATTTTCCACTGCAGATACAGTTCCCCCTCAGCGTAGCTGGTCATAGTGACGCCGCACGAACCTGGAGCAGACGAATTTCGTTTTGCAAGACAAAAGACCACCGAAACAAGCAGGAGCGTTTGGGAGAACGACGAAACGATTCTGGTCGATCAAAGGCGACACAAGAGGCTACGCTAACCTGGTAGCTAATGTTAGCATATGTGTTTTACAGTTCTCTCTGACCAATCAGCGTTTTTATGCCACCTTTTGGTATCGCTCGCTTGGAACCTCGACGGAGGTGGTACCAAAATAGTACCTGGTACCAGGTACCAGATTTGTCTGGTGGAGAACCAAAAAAAGGCGAGTAGAGTCCATGCAGTGGAAAAGTGGCTTAAATGTTATGACTGTGTTTAAACTAGCCACCTTTTGTCTATAGGTGGGCATGTAAAATGTGAGCCCCCAGCTAGAGACTGCCAGTTGTTGCCAAAACCGTGTACTAAATACACTCCCATAATTTTTTTTTTACCATCGAATCACCTAGAAATGTGCCCAGAAAACTGCCATTGGCAGAAACGTTCAGAGCTGAGAGAGAGGAGGGGCTGCTTTGGCATATTAGAGCGATATGACATTGAAGGATAAGAAGCATAAGCAGTCCAAACTAAAACTCAGACTGTATCCAACTACATGAAGTCATTTCACTGCTGGAGGTAACTGCAAGCCAAACCATTAGAGCAGTCGATCAAATTTGATCATAGTCAATATTAAACATGGCCATTTTGAAAAAGCTAAATAACCAAACACATCAAGCCAGAATGTCAAAGTATTTACACATGAAAAAATGATTTTTCTGTGGTATTAATTGGCAGAGTAGCAATGTCTCAACTAAACTGTGCAGCTTGATTACCTGTGAAATCACAAGTAAGTTAAGGCTCACATTTAACATCAAAGAAGATCCGATCTGGGGGGGGGGCGTCCCTATTTAACCAAATGACTGAGTCATCTTGTATATCAAACTACTCCAGAATAGTCCACCAACCAAAATGTCCAGCGGAGAGAGGTCCTGTGGTCTAAAGGACAGCAGAACTGACAAAGTGAAATGACCACATAATGTATGTGCAATTTCAAAGCATATATCAAACCAATTGGTTTGAATATATATATATATATATCTATATATATATATATACATATATATATATATATATATATATATATATATATATATATATATATATATATATATATATATTACATGCCATACTTGAGTGTGAGCTGTTATGTGGTGGAAATTGGATTATTGTTGTTAAGCTGAGGTCTTAAAAAGGTTTTAAAGCTTGATCTTTAGGATGTACATGATGCTCTACACTTTAAATTGATCCATTTTGTTGCTTTAACATGAGCAAATTTCTCCGATGTTGATTTTTGGTGCATCATTAGTCTTTCCCTGCATCCACATTGCCTGCCGAAGCTGTCGGAAGTCATTGAATTTCAGTGAGAGGCAGTAAGCAGTGTAGCAACTAGAGGTTGTAAATGATTAACTGATTAACTGATAATTGTTCGATGTTAAAAAACATTCATTTGAATTTATTTAACAGTTCCTATTTGAATAAGTAGCTTTATAATTCATGTTGAATTGTAAGCGTGATGGCGCAATTGATTCTGCTAGTTTGGCCTACTATAAAATAAAGCACGCTGCTAACAGTAGTTCAGGACCACTTTTCGAGTAGTTTTACCCAACAAGAGCGGAAGGGAAGCAATCACCAACAACATTTAGAGCATCACACATGATAACACACATCGCCATAGCGTTAGCAGTAGCAATAAGTCACTGAGTTAGCTTAGCAGTTCTGCTCTTGGAGAAGCAATAGTTTGTATGTTACTTTAAAAAGACAAATCCTGAAGATTATAAGCATCTCTGAGTGGTTAACGCTGGTCATCATTCTCATTTCCGTTTTCAAACATAGTCCACAGATGTTGCTGTATTTTTAGCTAATTCTTATGGAGGGCCGTGTTGCCAGGTCCAGCGAAAATCTTTACTCCAAAGTTTGCTTGAAGCCGCCCAGAAGCTGAAACTTTCTCATTTTCTCCCACAATTGTATTTCCAAACAAGCCCAGTTTGAAGGGATAACTGCAAACCTGGCAACCCTGACATCGGGTGCGCGCGGTCGTCCAGACGCTCCACAGCATAACCAATGAACAGTGATTCTCTGCTGTAGGTGCACGCGCTCTGCCCTGATCAGAGTTACTTCCTGTTGATAGCGTCTCTGCAGATACGATGTCTAAATCCAGCTTTAACATGAAGAGAACAGAGAAGTGTGTGAGGTCACTGAAGGCCCCTCGTTGTGGAGTTTGTCCAGGAGTTTCAGTGAAAAGTTGATGGAGCTCAGATTTTGCAGTGTAATGGAAAGAAAACACAGCACTGGAGTCCAACCAGAACCATCTCTCTCTCTCTCTCTCTCTCTATCTCTCATTCTCTCTCTCTCTCTGTTTGTCTGGCTCTCCAAGGTTGTTGACTGGAGCCCAAGGGCAGTGGGTTGGTTGTGGGGGGGGGTGGAGGGGAGGTGGGGTTACAGAGAGAGGAAGTGGGGGCGAGAGAGATGGGCAGAGAGATAGAGCCGGCTCCAGCCCGCCGTGACAGCTGCCTCTTATCTTCCCAAACAGACCTCCGCAAGAACTTTGAGCAGGACCCCCAGGGGAAGGAAGTGCCAATCAAGGGGATGATCGTACTGCACTGCCGGCCCCCGGAGGGCGTCCCCGCCGCAGAGGTAAGACCACGTCAGGCAGCCTCTTGACACAGCCCCCACCGGGAGGACGTCCGGAGAGGGCAGAGCGCCTGCGCTTGTGTACACAGACGCTCAGTGTTTTCAACAGTAGAAAATCAGCTTTATTAAAGATGCTGGAATAAACTGATTCTAATACGGCTTCACATGATTTACTGGGACCTGTAGATCATTCAGGGATAATTCAGAAAGGTGTGTAAGATCAGAGCTGCTGTGATGCGTCAGCCTCGTCAACTGACACTGTTCACACTGTATTTATGTCCATTTTGCATTTTTTTAAAGGGCCCAAATGGACAACCACCTCATGTTTTTTTATAAAAAAGAGTTTAATATAGTCTGTAAATATTGTTAAAGTTTTATAAACTGCCCATAAAGTCTACATAAGCAAAGTAATCTACGAAAATGGCCTGTTTTGAATTTCTTGTTTTTGTGATGTCACAAAAACCAATGAATTTACGTGTATTCGCCTATTCAGTCTACAGCAGCCTAAAGCAGCTTGGACTGCACAACACACAAAGCCAATAAGAACAGTATGCATAAGTTTGGGCACCCCTGGAAAAAGTATTATTATTATTATTATTATTATTATTATTATTAATTTATTTATTTATTTATTTATTGTGAAAATTGCAGTTACATTGAATTTCACTTGTGCACATTTTAATACATAATTACTGTTTATTTGCTGAAATAATAAATTATGTTGTTATATGTCATAATAATTATGTTATCATGTTAATTAACATATAATAACATATGATATAAATGTAATATGTTTTACATGTAGGATATAATATTATATGTAGGTTTTATTCTTGTTAATATGTAACACAACAAATTAAGGAAAGAAAAAAAGATAAAAAATGATAATGTAAGATATGGTTCAGAGCCCTGCTGGTGACATCCAATATGAATAAAAATAAGGTGTGGCCATGACTTAGTTAAGTGTGGGAATATTTCAGTCGTGGCCACCACTTAGTAAGGTGTGGGAACGAGATCATGCCTTACTAAGTCGTGACCAGGCATTAGGATCTTGTTCCCACACCTTACTAAGTCAATTCCACAACTTAATTATCTTATTCCCATGCCTTACTAATTGTCTTGTTCCCAAGCCTTACTAAGTCGTGTCTATGCATTAGGATCTCGATCCCATGCCTTACGAAGTCGTGGCCACGCATTAGGATTTCATTCCCACACCTTACTAAGTCGTGGCCACGCATTAGGATTTCATTCCCATGCCTTACTAAGTCATGGCCACGACTTAATTATCTTGTTTCCATGCCTTACTAAGTCATGGCCACAACTTATTTTGTTCCCATGCCTTACTAAGTCGTGGCCATGACTTAATTATCTTGTTCCCATGCCATACTAAGTCATGGCCACAACTTATTTTGTTCCCATGCCTTACTAAGTTGTGGCCATGACTTAATTATCTTGTTTCCGTGCCTTACTAAGTCATGGCCACAACTTATTTTGTTCCCATGACTTACTAAGTCGTGGCCATGACTTAATTATCTTGTTTCCATGCCTTACTGTGTCATGGCCACAACTTATTTTGTTCTCATGTCTTACTAAGTCATGGCCACAACTTATTTTGTTCCCATGCCTTACTAAGTTGTGGCCATGCATTATTTTTATTTATACAGGATGTCACCAGCGGGGAATCTGTAATATGGGCCCTTTAAATAAACATATAAAAGTATGATTCAGTGTCGTTTTAACAGTATGTCTGTGATAAATGGTATATGATGTACATATTTACATGACAATGTACTTCATTATAAATACATTACTATTTAAATACTGTATATTGTTACATATGAGGTAATTAATGCAGCTCATTGTTGCATATAAGGTAACAAAAATGATGTGTATTTTTTTTCTCAATGTAATTACATAGATAATAAAACTTCAGCGTGTCAGTGTGAGAGGTTTGTGTGTCCGGCTGTGTCAGAGCGTTTCTAAGCCCATCACTGATAGAGCTGCTCTATCTGCTGTTGACATGGGCAGACACGCCAGGCTCTGACCAGGCTCTGGACACAATAGAGGTCATGTACACAGACATATGACAGGCTTCATCTCTCACTTCATGTGCCTGAGTGAACTGACCCCAGCGAGCTGTGATACGTGTGTCTGTGGAGGGTCAGGTGGGGGTCAGGTTCAGGTCAGACACCAGCACTAAAAACAGAAGAGCTGTCTCAGTCTTCCTTTCCCTTCCGTGGGCAGAGACCCCGCACAGCAGGATGTAGAGCCCACCGCTTCATGCCTGTATCAGGTGAGGGTCAGAACACAGAGAGACAGACAAGTACAGTCCAGATCACACAGAGAGCAGCAGAGATGAGGGTCAGAACACAGAGAGACAGACAAGTACAGTCCAGATCACACAGAGGGCAGCAGAGATGAGGGTGAGAACACAGAGAGACAGACAGGTACAGTCCAGATCGCACTGAGGACAGCAGAGATGAGGGTGAGAACACAGAGAGACAGACAGGTGTTTTTTCTTGTCTTTCTGCACTCTTTCTTTCTCTTTGTCTCTGTCTTTCTTTCTTGAACTTGTTCTTTCAGTTGTTTTTTCTCTTTCACTTTCTCACTATTTCTTCCTTTCTTTGTCATTTTTTTCTTTCTTTCTTTCTTTCTTTCTTTCTTTCTTCACTTCTCAGTATTATTTTATTTCTTTTGTTTTTTCTTCTTTCTTTTACCCTCTTTCTGTTTTTTCTTTTTTTCTACCGTTTTTCATTCGTTAACCCTTTCCTTTACTTGCTTTCTTGCTTTTTTCTCTTTACAATGTCTTTCTTTCTTTCTTTTTCTCTTTCTCTTTGTCTCTGTTGCTCTTTCTTCAACTTGTTCATTCAGTTATTTTTGTCTTTTACTTTCTTCCTATTTCTTTTTCTTTTTTCTTTCTTTTTTCTTTCTTTTTTACTTTCTAACTTTCTCTGTCTTTTTAACTTTCTTTAAGTTCTTTTTCTCTTTTTCTTTCTCCCTTTATATTTCTTTACTTGTTCTTTTTTCACTTTCTTTTTCTTTTTTTTACTTTCTTTACTTTTTCTTTCACCTGCTCTTTTTTCTCTTTTACTTTCTTTCTTTCTTTCTTTCTTTCTTTCTTTCTTTCTTTCTTTCTTTCTTTCTCTCTCTCTCTCTCTATCTTCTCTGGTCAGTGCTGGTTCTGCAGGACACTAATGACCCGATCCCGCAGTGATAGAATCATCTTCGACTCAGACGTTCTCTGCTCTACTTCAGTGATGAGTGTGTGTGTTCTGGCTTTGCTGTGTTTGGCTTCCTTTATCAGTGGGAGCTTCGCAAATAGCAGCCTGAGAATATTTATTTAAGAATATCTAACAGTGAGAACCTTTAGAATATGAGCCTCCGGGTTCTTCAGGGTTTATCACAGTTTTAGTGTGGACTCAACATTTACATTAACTCCATGTAGGATGAGCTTTGAAAGTTTAATGACAGAAGGTCACTGGTGAACTTTTTAAAGCGTCGGATTGGTCGACATATCGGCAGGAACCCAGTTTGTAACGTGAACCAAATTACACTGATTATTAATGTTGCCCAGTGCTCACAATGGCATTTGGCTCTGTGGGGGAGTCAGAGGCCACAGATACGAAGAGAAATAGCTCTGTTCAGGGATGCTCACTCCACCAACACTGCCACCAACAGATTGCACAAAGAAAGTGGAATGACCTTTAGAGAGATGTAAGAGTTCCTGATCCGGACCATTACGGTCGTCCCTGGAGAGCCAGTTCAGCCGTTCAGCAAAGCTTTACCAGATTGTGTTATGCAGAGTAGCTTGTCTTCTCCTGATGAGACTCTGTACTCCGGCCTCTGAGGGGACTGACTGTTGGAGAGAAGGGTCTGTAGTCCAGATTGCTTCACAGTGGCACGGCTGCTGCACCCGCCTGGAATGCCACATTACGCTTTATATCGCTTTAAGCTCACCCTTGATTTCCAGGAGGCAGCATCGCCTGGAGAAACAGCCACAGCTCAGCCAATCTGGGAGAGGAGAACCGTGTTGCAGATGCAAGCCAGCCATTTTTTGTTTTCGCTACCAAATCAAATGACCGTGGAGTTTTGATGAGGTGGGATTGGCTGCCTTCTGACTTTGAGCATGGTGCGTGGAACCAATCAGCAATTCCACAGCGTGGCTGTGCCGAATTCACTACCTCAAGTTCAGCCATGGTTCTTCTAGCCTGGAGCAGCAAACATAGACGCTAATTATGAACCCTGGTCTGATCAGACTGAGTTCAAGTGGCGGTCAAGACAAGTCAGTTGGCCAGTTCTTTGATGCAGGTGCCATGTACCAACATACAGGGACATAACCTCCTTCGTACAGTGGGAAAAATGGTCAACTCTGCCCGTTCATTTCCTCTTCTTATTATAAGTAACGCAGTCTCTATATACTGCATGGTTTGCAGATCAGTAATAACAGAGTAATGATAAGGTTATATTATGGTAACAAGCTTTACTAACCTAAAAATGATATGCTACTAAAAAAATGTTACTAAATTATAAGTTAGTAATTATAGTGATATAAGTTGGAAATATAATGGTCAAAATAATGGTAAAAAAGTGAACTAACCTATAAATTATATGCTTTAGTTGTTAATAGTAATTTATAAAAACCTAAGATAAAGAAAGATAAGCATGTTGTTTAAAGATATATGTTGTGTGATAGCATCTTTTTCATCACTGAACAAATTTTGGTATCTCTTTGGTGGCATAGATCAGTAATAAGGGAGTAATAATATGGTAATATTATGGTAACAAGTTGTACTAACCCATACATTACATGCTAATTTCATAGTTTATAAATAATAAGTTGTAGTGATAACAATTTGGTAATAAGACAGAAAAATAATGGTAACAAGTTATGCTAAACTAAAAATGACTAAATAATAAGTTAGTAATTTAACTGGTAACAAGTTGGTAATAAAATGATCAAAAAAAGGTAATAAGTTGTACTAACCTATAAATGATATGCTAAT